CCCAGCAGCAGGTAGGAATCTGGCAGGGGTGGGGCTGCAGCTGGGTAGGAGCATGGAGTGTGGGGCTGGTGGCAGTGCAGAGCCCGTATCCAGGGGCTCCCCTGGATGCAGGCTCTGCGCTGCTGCCACCAGCCCCATGCAACACAGAGCTGAGGTGAGCAGCATGTGGGTTCAAGGGAGAGTAGGGAGCAGGTTTGAGCCACTCCCCTCATGGTGCACAGCCTGGGCAAATGCTGGCAGCAGCAGCAGGCAGTGGCACTCAGGGTGCAGATGTCCAGTGCACGGGGCTTATCTCCAGTACCCGGTGATTTCAGCAGCTGCACGTGAGTGACACAGAGTGCCAGCAATATATATGGTCTGGTGGAGGCTGCACTCCTCGCCGTGATGTGCAGCGCTGGCTGGAGCCGTGCCCAGCAGGGCACCTGCGCCCTGAGCACCCTTTCCTGCTGCTACGCCATGGGGGGGAGTGTGGGGAGGATCCCCACACCCCCTCCCATGCTCCCTCATACCCCACAAATGCCACACACCCTGCCCCACAACCCCCCCCACATATACACAAACCCTAACATATCCTATGCCCCCCCCACACAGCCAGATTCCTTCACAAACCCCCACACCCTACCATACACAGCCACCACTCTCACTACACATCCACATCCCCCCACAAAATACAAGACTAAGAATTTATTTTTGAATTATTATGCAATCGCCTCTATATACACTATGCAAACAAATCACAACAACATTTTTTTTGTAATAAGATTAACATATGTTACAGATTCATAGATTGTAAGGCCAGAAGGGACCTCAGAAGATCATCAGGTCCAGCCCCCTGCACCAAGCAGGAAATGGACTATAGTAGGTGTTTGTATGATTTGGATTTTTTCTGGTTCTAAGATGGCAACCCCCACCCTCCCAAAAGAAGTATTTCTGGGGGGCAAGGGGAGGGATGTCTGGTGGCAAAGGTCAGGGGTTCGCAGCAGGACTTCTGGTCCCACAATGGCGACACGGGGGAGGGGCAACTGTCAAGGCGTGCAGCTCTGGACAGCTCACCAAAACTCGTTAAGCAGCCCTCCACCTAAAATAATTGCCCGCCCCTGCCATAAGACATATCTATACAGCTTTAAACACTTATTTTGTTCCTTTGGTATATTATCTTCAAAGCTTTAAAATAACATTTCAGTCTTCTGCTAGTTCCGGGAAGAAGGGTTCATCTGCTAACTGCTTTTGATGAGTCAACAGAGAGAACCAAGACACTGGACTTGGGGCTGTGGGAGGGGCACGTGGCACAAGAATTCTCTGCAAGGTTCCCGTCATGGAGTTCCTTTTTAGCCATTCTGCTGTGGAAAGAGTTTGCACCCTTCCTCCTACCCTAGACTAGAGTAGCATTTCTCAACCTGTGGGCTGCAGCCCAAAAGTGGGTCGCAAGAATATATGAAAGGGGTGCAAACCAACTTTACAACTGGATTCTCCTCTAAAGGAGAAAAGTGTGGAAAACTGTGGGTTTCCCCTTGCAGGCTGGCAGAGTTCCAGCCTGCAAGGGGCTGCTTGTGGCTGTGGGGAGCAGGAAGAAGGTGATCAGGAAGGGGTGCCATTTGCATGTGCACACAGAGCTTCACCCCGGCCACACTGTCATGGACAGGAGCTGCCTCCATGACCCAGCGGGCAGGACCCAGCACAGGAGGGCAGAGCAGGGCAGCAAGAGTTATTGCTGCCCGCACCCACTGTGCCACCAGCAGCGTGAGGAGTAATGGACCGGGGGTGGGCGGGAGGTGGCAGCAGTGGCTGGGCCATGGTGGCGGGGTAGAGCCCGGTGCCCGAGTGGCTGGCAGCGGGAGGAGGTGAGAGCAGTGTGGCCTACCCCCCATCCATTACTCCTCATGCTGCTGGTGGCACAGTTGGCAGGGGGGTCCCAGCAGTGGCTGCACAGCAACAAGTCTCGCTGCCTGAAGCAGGAGGCAGCGAGTTGGGAGTGAGGGGCACCGGGAGGGCCAGGGGGCTGTTTTCTACTCAGAGTATTCACTGGGTTGGGACTGGCCATGGATGTTTACAAATGGATCCTGGTACAAAAAAGGTTGAGAAACACTGGACTAGATGACCCATTCAGACACCTACAGGAATCTGCAGCTGTGGTCACCAGTACCTTATGTGTCTACATCAGCACAGCTCCTTTGGTGCCTGGCACCCAGATATTTCCCTACCTATGGCTGCCCTTGACAAGTCCTTCCCCTCTTTTTTAAAGAGAACCTCCACAACCCAAGGTGCTCTGTAGCAAAGGCAGCATACGTCTAGGATCTTTTACTTTTCCTCTGAATCTCTGTAGTGGCAGGAGAGGGGGACCTGCCTTTCCCTCTCCAGCCCACTTCGTTTTTGGGCTTACCCTGGACCTGATGTGCAGAGCCCATGGAAGCAGAGAAAAGGGGATAGGAAAGAGCAAGGGAAAAGGCAGCTGAGCTCTCATTCCAAACGGAGAAAGAGCATAGGATCTATATATGGATCTGGGGTGGGACAGGAAAGTTTCCCCCTTATTACCCTTTCCTATATATTTAAAAATATAGGGTCACTGAATTTGGCCTGAACTTGGGTTCCACAGAAACTATCCCATCCCTTCACAAGTTTTAGGTTTAAGATTTCTAGGTCTCAAAAAATTAACATAGTTTCCCTAACTTACTGCAATAAAGTCTGAACAAAGAACTTAACTTCTTTGCCTCATATAACAGAAGCCCCTCTATTTGCCTATCAGCTATAGATCAACTGGTGCACCTATTCACTATACAGCATGACACAGGAGGCTCAGTTTCTATATTTGTATGCTCCTAATACACAGACAGGATAGGATACCACAAGACGAGCTCTGTGATAAGGCTGTACGCAGTTAAGTACACATACTCTGCCATTAATAGCAACAAGCTAAGACCAAGCACTTTAAGATGTCACATAAAGCTAAGACATGCACAAAACCAGTAGTCCTAGGCTGCCTTTAGAGACTTTGGATTGCTAATAAGCAATATTTTCTTAAATGCTATTTTCTTGAATGTTTGGGATTTTTATAATGCCCCACATATTACAGTTTTGATGTTACAGGAGAGGCTTAATTACAGTTTGATTACAAGGCAGTTTGGTACAGTTCACTTATAGTTAATTTGAGACAGAGGTAGCAGCAAAGACTATAGGTTATTAGCACAGTACTAGCTTGTGACATCATAATCATGTAACATCACTTTCTGGTAAAAGTCACATCCTTCAGATATGACTTCATGATCTGAATGTAGTTCAAATACTAGGAATCTGCTCCTTCTGCTAGTATGAGGTTTCCTATTGATTTCAGGCCCAATACAGGTATAATATGTACGAGCGAGATAATATTTACTTTGCTTAAGTCTTGATGCAAAGTCTTAAGCAAAGTAATAGCATAGTTCAAACACTAATTGTGATAAATACAGGAATCAACATGTACAGGAATAATCGCTAGGTTATGCAGATCAGACTATATTATCTTAATGGTTGCTATAGGGAAAAAAAACCACCATTGTGAAATAGGCTGGAAGGCCATGTATTTGGAATAAAAATGCATAAACATGTTCCAAGAAAAGAAAACACCTTCCCACTTTCCTGTGAGGATACCAGACATGTTTTAAATGAATATGGCCCAATCCTGTAGCATGCTGAATGACTCCTTGTGAAACTCTTAGCACTTAGCAGGAACTGGCACCTTGGGAATTATTTTGTTTTAGACAAGCCACCTCAAACAATGCCATGCTTTCTCATGTCTGAGATAGTTTCCCGATTTACTACAAAACTGTAGATAGGTGGTATTTAATGTAAGCTTATGAAAGCCCTACTATTGCAAGTTATTCAATCTTTTTTGCCACCTTAACAAAAGAATCTGCAAATACCAGTACAACAATGCTAATGATTTCACTTAAAATAAATAAAGCACATTTCAAGTAAGGGGGTAAAACATACATGCACAAAACACCTTTCACAACAGAAGTCATGTTTGTAGAATTGCCTATCCCGAAGTATTCAGTTGATGTTTTGTCAGGTACCAAACAGGCAGGATTACAAATGCAATGGCTGAGACAGACTACTGCATTTTTCATGTTCTATTTTTTTTTCCTTAATTGGAAACCTCCTTACTTAAGTTGTGTTAATTAAGGATGATCAGGACTGCAATAATTTAGAGGTCTGTCTAACTTGGTGTGCAGGAAAACAGGAGGTAAGTGCAAATCTCAGCCTGACTTCATATAAAGCTTGTCAGAATATTAATCAAAATAGCATTTCAAATCTAGGCAAACTACATAAGTCTTTTCTTTGCCAGGGCTTGAACTCAATGTGAGGATTTCAGGAATTAAAGTGATGTGTTGCGATGGTGTAATAAACAGTATCAGACAAAATGCCTTCCCATAATATTAGATGATGCCATTGCCCACCAATCAGAAACCTATAGTCATGTACTTCAGTCACCAATGAGGTACAAGGCAAGAACACTCAAGAGGACCTGGCCATTTAGCACTAAAAATAAAGTGGATCACAGCCAATTGTTTTCACTTTGGAATACGAGTTTAAGCGATTCTTTTCCTTTTTTTCCACCCAGCATCTTATTCACTTGCCTTTGCAGAGGCAGAGGCAAGTGATTATCGCCAATATGTAGCGAGACAGTCCAACATAACCCAACATCTCTGAATAATTCAATGCGTGCACACAACCATGAAAATAGCTACGCTCTGGAAAACACTTTAGGCTGGAATCATTAAAAAAAAAAAAAAGG